GGTTTTTAAATTTTTTAAAAATCTGATAATTATAAATATGTCATGAATAGTTATTTGTATATAATTTTTTATTTTTTAAAACTAAAAACCATGTTGAAAAATGATCTTAATTTTTTCTTCTACTACTGCCACAATTTGGTAGATTTAGGATTCTGCCTATTTCACCTTTATCTACCGAAGGTATAATTTAGGTTATGCGTCATGCTCTACGTTCTACATTGTCGTAGAATATTAATTCTACGATTTAGACTGACATCTACCAAACCCAGATAGTACATTCTACCATTCTCAATATATTCTACCGTGTCTAGAATTTAGTTTCTACTGCAACGTCAACCACTTTGTCTACTATCTACCGATTCGTAGAATGTAGTTTCTGGAAAATTAGGTACAAATCTATGAGTGAATATTTTTGTTAACTGAAATGATTTTTAAAAAATATTTCTTTATCAAACACATTTTCACGTAATCTTCTTCTTCTTCCTTGCGTTTCCTTCTTACAAAACACGTCTTCTTGTTTGATTTCTTCATTTGTGGTTTCTTCGAATTTTGTCACATAATTTCTTCGTTTTGCTAATATGAATAGGAATAAGTAGAAAAATTAAAGAACTAGGGTTTTGATATCATTAAAATCACCCTAAGAGAAAGGAAGAAGAAGAAAAAGTTTGACTCTTTATATGTTTTTGCACTCATTACCAAGAAGACCGGATAGAGATATAAAGTATATATAGACCCGATCTATTAGACCGGTCGTTGAACTCTTCGAGTTTGGTTCTACTACGAGATGAAGATTGATTTAGAAGACTGGACGGAGCGAAATGGAGGTCAAAATTAGGATTCATTGAAACTAAATCTTAATGGGACATTCTTATAAACATAAAAATGTACTGGAACATTTTCTATTTCAATGTGTCATAATTTAGCAAACTTCTTTTAAAAATATTCTTCATCCGAAATGAGATTGAATTAGAGACATAATGAAATCAACTCCAAGTATCACTAGACTAACACATCTTTGATCACTATTTTTTAGTAGTCAATAGTTCGAATTTTTTTTTTTGCCAGCTATGTAAAATATAAATTGTTTTTGTGATAAAACATATTCGATGAAATTCTACAGAGTTTTTTATTTTTTTTAATAATCAGAAATTTACATGCCAGAACCTAATTAACTTTAATGTTTGAGATATTTTTTGTTAAAGGAAAACACAAACAAACTTGAATTCAATATTGTTCTTGAAAGTATTTGCATATAACGTATTATCTTAATAATTTATGATAAAATCATTAATGCGTCAATTATATTATTTTTGTTAAAAATTATAATACATTAATTTTTTTTTGTGTCAGTATAATCCATTTAAAAATTAAATTATTTATTCACTTATATTTCAATAAGCATTTAAAGTTAGAATTATAAATAAGGTGAATTTGGTGAATAACTAAAAAAAAAAATTATTATTCAATAATAATTAAAAAAGTGTATATGTGGTAAAATCTAAGCTATTGAATTTTAAATAATTAGCTAGTTATTGAATTATAGTTTTTATTTGGTTATTAGTGCTAATTTCTCTTATAAATAAGTCACAATAAACTTATTTTCACCTCATTATTATCACCTCAAATTCTCTTTACTGTCATTTTCTTTCCACGGGAGTACAAGGACAGCAATCACATCCGATGTATTAAGAAACACAAGTTTTTTTTCCCCTAAACTATTAAGAAACACAAGTTGTTCATGGATTAGATCCACGTTTGCTGATTACGCGACAAAATATTATAATATGATATTTAAATTAAGACTAAGAAAAAGTCGTTCAATGCACCAAGTCTTTCTTTTACATAGTACTATTGATAAGAAAAAGATTAGATAAAAAAATTCAAGATATTTTTTACAAATAAAAAAGCTCAACTAGTTTTTACGATTATTGGTTAGAACTAGTATAAGATATGAAATGTGGGCTATGAGGCTATAAAAAGTAGCTAGGATTTAGATTAAACGAAAAAGATCGTCGAACTCGTGGGAAATGCGTGTAGTGGTTGGGGGAAGGAATACATATATCCGTGATGCAAGTTGAGTAACGTGTCCATATTTATATATAATTAACTTACTTTACGTATATTCATGCACCGTTTCAGTTTACCTTTAGTTTATACGACTCTTAATTTGTTTGTATTAATATGGTATACTTTTGTAGTCCTTGTTAATGATAAACCAAAGTTTAAGTACTTAATTAGTTTCTAATAGTATATTATACAGGTAACAGGTGCAAACCTATATTTTCGTTTAGGGTTTTATTTTGTTGAGTAGGAGAACACTTTCGAGATGGTTGACTTTGCTAAACGTAGATTCATACGTAGCCACGTTGTATGGTTTAAAAAAAAATACTGATGATAACATAACAATAAAAATTGAAGGAGTGGTGATCTAACGGTAATATAAAGATATTGGTTTTTTTTTATGTTGTGGATTCAAACTTTTTTTTTGGACGAAAATTTATACTTTAAATTAAAATACCTAAATACTATCTCCAAATACCGAAAAAACTATCCTATGAGCCAGACAATCAGAAGTTCCACGGTTTTGTAAAAAAAAAAACAACAATAAAATACAGCTACTACAAGTTTTGAAAAAGTATAAAAAAACAATACGCACTAGTACGCACATGAAATTTCTAGAAATTACCAAACAAATATTCCGCTCTTTTTATTTGTTAGCATGTACTAGACTTTCAAGGAA